ATAGAAACAGTGCTATACTGTGTGTTATATAGAAACAGTGCTATACTGTGTGTTATATAGAAACAGTGCTATACTGTGTGTTACATAGAATCAGTGATATACTGTGTGCTGTATAGAAACAACGCTATTTATTCAAGTGTGTGGCGTATATAAGTTTAGTACATGTAGAAATATATCAAGCCAGAATACCACACCCTAAAAGTAACATTCTGTGAAATGAGCCATTACAATCATTGTGTAATTATTTCAAACCGAGGTTCATTGTTTATTTTGTAGCCACACTGCTACTTGAACTATGTACATAACTCCAACAGGAACGAACGTTTAAACATCATGTGTCTATGTACCATTCGCAGGCAAACACACGATTGGAATCCTTAAGACGCCTCAAACAATTCCAGCTCAAAGCGCCTGGCGTAGTCAATGACAACACATACTGCTGTGTCACATTTAAGCAGCCTCACGTTGACGTCGAACAGAGTGTCAGAGGGATCGCTGAATTATAATAAGTTTTCCGTTTTTTTCGTTCTAGTGGCTTGTTTACAAATGTAGGGGTAGCAATACCGTCGGATACATTTCTGGAAACAAGTTTTACCTCAATTGGACTACGTGAATATCATCACAAATAACTTCACTTACAAGAAAAAACTGACCTAACAATGAAGTGAAGACGCTACTAACAGTAGTTTTGAAGTGTTGTTGCTGCAGTTGCCAGGTTTGGAATGATTCTACTACAAAACGAGAAGGTTTTCGGAGCTTTAGAATAAAGGGCACACGGGAATCGCTCGATTGACGCCTGCCAGACACCCGAAAAACTAACTAGGAAAGAGGATTCCCCGCTCAATTAAAAAAAGTGTTACACAGGCGCGAAAACTATCCGAATCTCCAGGAGCCTATGATTTGCGATGCGTTTGTATTGTAAGCGCTTAGATATAGCTAGATTTCCTTAGAATGACAGATAAGTTTATCAATAGTATACTCTATGAATCAGGAATTGTTATATGTTTCCTATAAAACACCTTCATAGTGCCGTGAGGAAACAATAATCCTGACGCCAGCTGTTTAGCGGTCAAATAAGGGCACATGACTGC